GCTTGCGTTCCTGGACCAAGTGAAAACATCTACTAGAATCATGGACACCTCTGGCACAGGGCCTTCTTTTTGGTAGAGGCCCTATTTAAATCCTACTTGGGAAAGCCATCTTTGAATTCTCACCCATGGAGAGGACGCTCTGCCTGGGACTTTCCCAATGGGGCCCTGAAAGCTGTACCCCGGGAATCCCCAGCTTGGACTTCAGATGTTGGTGCTTCCCTGAATTGGTAAGGTTTTCTTATATTATTGCTATCCTTCATATTCTTAGCCTGACTATAGTCGTATTGCTAATTGTATGTTGCTGTAAATCTACCTTTTCTATACCTATATTATAATCTTAATTAAAGCTACCTTCACTTCTTTCTCTAGGAGTGTGTCTTACTGTAGGAGCGAACCTGAACCACATTTTTCTTCCTTAATCACACAGGCTGCACCAGGACTGGGGCTGGGACGGAGCTTCTCTCTCACCTCGGTCACAGACTTTTCCTACTGACCTTCTAAGTTGTCTCCAGTTCACGGATTGAGAAGTCTGGAAACTGCCACAGCTGCCTGTCCTTCAGTCCTATGAGGGCTGCTCCAGGTTCACTGAGGCCTGATCTTTCCCTGTGCACCTGCTCACGCTGAACTGCATTTCTCTCCCAGCCCAGTGCTATAGACTTTTCTAATCAACCATCCAAGTTGTCTTAGACTAGAAATTTGTTTCACTCTGTCTTTTTGTGGGTTCTGCTGCTCTAGAATTTGTTTAGAGCCATTTTTTACAGGTATTTGGAGGGGTTGGGGGAAGAGCTCAAGCCAGTCACTGCTTTCACTCCTCTATCTTGGCTCTGCCCCTCCCTTGACTCACTTCTTAAAGAGGCCTATTTACTGATGGGAATTACCTCACCTAAAGTGAGAACCTGAAAAGACTTTAGCTTAAAAGGGCCAAGGTCTCCCATTGCATCCTGAGTCATCTCTAGTCGTCCTGATGAGTATCTGGCCATTGGACCCAGATGGCTCTGGAGGAGAAAATAAAGCTGGTGACCTTGCACAGCCCTCCCTCACTCAAATCAAAGTCAATTGCAAGTCATGGTATCATCTCCCTGATGTCATGGTCCTCCTGAAGGACTAAAGACAAACACAACATATAATAGTATTGAAATCTGTAATGACCAAATACTTCATGAAATGTTCTTGTTGTCTCTGGGCACATAATAAAATTCCAGCTCCCAACTCCAAGGAATATCCTTGAGAAAGCTATCTATCTCATTATAACTTCCTTCTTTCTTCAGGGTCAAGTAAATGAAGAATGTTAGATTGATGTGATTTACCTCTTCTAGCAATGTGTTTCCTCATTGGCCATTGGATAAGGACATCACATTTAGGGTTCCAATAGTCAAACAGAGGTTGCAAGTGATCTAAAATGATAATTTTTGGCATCCTCTGTACTTTCCCCACCACTCTGCTTCTGCTGATTTTGCGTCTACAATATCTATTGAGGGGGAAAAAATGTTTTCATAAAGTTTGTCATGAAATTGCTGTCAGATTGTCCAAGTGCATTTAATTAAGGAAGACAAAGGAAATAAAACATGAAAAAAAGTAGAAAAGGTCTGTTGATATTTCTATAACAAACTAAATGACTATGGCAGAATCATATTTGCACTTTAACATCACTGCCTTCCCCCACCCCTGTGTGTTACATCAGGTAGAAGTAACAATTAAGAAAGTATGAGAAAGAAACACAGATTTTTGTAAAAGATATTGCTAACAAAACTTCTTTACAGTCACACAGTTGACCGAATGGAACAGAAGACACAAGAAATGCTTGAGAACCATTGCAAGAACTAGAATTCCCATTCCTACACATTTTATATCATATTTCAGAATGTACAATCCCTCATAAATTTTTACCTGTCATTTTTCACATCCAATGAGCAGCATCATAAGCACTGGTATATCCATTCAATACACAAGCTTCAAAGGAGAATTCTAGTGTCTTGTTTTAATACAAGCTTAGGATAAATCTGATTGAAATTCATATTTCAAATGTGGACTGACAAGCCAGATAGAATGAATTGACAGAAAGTGGCATTGAATAAAGCTACTCACTGTGCCTGAGTAAAAGGAACTTTCAGAGATAATGGTAATAATAGTAATCATTGCCATAATAACAATAATAATAACATATGTAATTCAGTGCTTGGGGGACAGCAAGCTAAAATCTGGATAAGCTATATTCACAACAATCCCCTGATCTACACTTAACTAAACCTGTCAAAAAAAAGTAAAGTTAGTCTGATAAGACTTCTTCTTAATGAAGTCATGCTGGCTTTTTTGTAATCACTGCTTCTTCTCCTGGACATTCACTTTTGCATGTGCTCTAGAATTCTGCTAGGAATCAAGTCCATTGACTTTCAGCTCCATTCTCCTTTTTTATTAAAATTGGGACAACATTTGAATTTCTTCAATCCTACAGAACTTCTCCTTTTTCCTTTGCTATGATTTTTCAAAAATTACAGATAGTTTATTGATTAATCAATAAACACTGAAATCACCTGGTCTCATTCTTTCAGTACCAAAGAATTTAATTTATCAGAGTAAGGTGACAGGAACTCATCAAGTACACCTTATTAACCTTCTTACTTTTTTTTTGGGGGGGGAGCATACTAACTCCTGGCCAAGCTGGAGTGCACCTTACAATTCAAGGCAACAAACATTTATTAAGTACCTACTTTGTGCCCAGGCAATGTGGTAAGTAAGAAGAGTTGGTTAAAAAAGGATTGCCTGGTATCTTGCAAATCAAATCAAAAGAACTTGTATATGAAAAAGAAAAAGGGAGGAAGAAAATTGCCTCTGTATATCTAACAGGCTAGATAGAAAGAGAAACTACAATTTAGGAAGAATGGTGGTTAAAAAAGTCAGAAGTTCACAAGAGACAAAAATCCAAGGAAGCGGCCTGTAATGAAAACCACAAATGTCTGCACATGAATGCATGATATGTTACAAGCAAGACGAACAGGAAATCTTATTTCAGGGAGGCAATTTTTTTTAAATTAATAGATGTCCTTAAGAATGTGGCTCCTGCCTGAAATACCTGACAGAGTATAAGAAATAAAAAAGAAACAAGTGAATGTGTGTGTGTGTGTGTGTGTGTGTGTGTGTGTGCATGTGTGTGTGTGTGTGTGTGTGTGTGTTGGGTGGAGGGGTGGTAGAGCGGAGAAGGGAGGAAACATAGAAACCAAAGTTGAAAAGCATATTGGAGCACACCTGGGTAAAATCAACGGAAGAAGAGGCAGAAGTGATATCATCATTTACAATAGCTACCATTTATATAACTTTTCAAGGTTTGCAAAGTGCTATACATATATATTTCATTTGCTTCTCAAAATGATCTTGGGTTTTTGTTGTTCAGTCATGTCAAGACTCTATTTGGGATTTTCTTGGCAAAGATACTGGAGTCGTTTGCCATTTCCTTTTCCAGCTTATTTTCCAGATGAGGAAACTGAGGAAAACTGGTTTAAGTGACTTGCCCAGGGTCACACAGCTAGTAAGTGTCTAAGGCCAAATTTGAACTCAGGAAGATGAATTTTCCTGACTACAGGCATTGCACTCCACAAACAGTGGCAGGTAGCTGGCCCAACCACCTTAGGAGGTAGGTGCTATTATTATCATCCCTATTTTACAGATAAGGAAACTGAGGCTGAGAGGTTAAGTCACACACTACTATCAGAGCAGGATTTGAACACAGGTTCTCAGGATTCCCAAGTCAAGCATTACTCTCTATGGAGGCCTATTGTTATCGAACCAAATAGTACACATCACAGGGACCTCCCAAAACTAGAGCAGCAAGCTGACACCCCTCCATCTCTTATTGGGTTCATCTCTAAGTATCTGATACCTCTAAGGTACCAATGAGGGCAGCCACTGTTGATGGGGTACTTGGGTGCTTGTGCTTGTACTTGTACCCCAATTTCTCCCTAGTCTCAGAAACACTATCCCTGACAGTTTCTCCCCAGCCTAAGGACACTATGCCTAGCAATTATTCATGCATGGGCCTCAGCACAACCCTTATCTCTCTCCCTGGTACAGCTATACAGAGCTGGACTGCTCAGGCCCTAGCCCTCAGATCATGTCTCTGGAAACCTCCCAATTCCTTAGTAGTTCCTGTATCGCAAGAAAGCTTTCCCTTGTTGCAGAACATTCTCTCATCAAGACAGAGGGAGAGGGGTGCCTTGCACAGCCCAAGGAGTTTTGTCCTTAGCCAGCCCAAGGACTTTTCCTCCTGCCAGACTCCAAAGATCCATACCTCTGTCATCTCCCTCCCTGTCCAGTATACTCCCTGTACTTTCCCATTATTGCCCCCAAAGACACCTGCACCTTTGGATTACCTCATCAGTGTCCCTGGCATTTCTTTGCCATGCTCTTTTCCATATAAACCCTAGCTGCATTCTCAGTCTCTTGCAGGATCCTTTAAGAATCCTTGCCCGCTGAAAGCGTAACAATAAATCTTTGCTACCTTGAATTAAAGAATGCTTGAGTCTGTGAATTCATTCCAGAGGATTTGTCCTGTATTCTGGTCTTTGAGGGGTCACAACCTCTCAACCTCTCACACCGCAACACGGTCACTGCACACACTTAAAGAGATCTGAAGCAGTTCCCCACGTGGGACTGTAATGAAGCAGGCCAAGTTTTTGGGATAATAAGGAGGGCAGGATCTTTAATGTCGCAGTAAGTGGGAATGAGAGTAGCATGACAGAAAGGATGGAACTTTCTAGAGCGGAAGATTTCAGCATGGGAGGCTCCCCAGTGGATGATTCCAAGAAAGGGAGAAGGGGTGGGGAAGTCAGGAGGAAAGAAGCACATCTAGGGCAGATCCAGCCTTATCACGTAGGGGTGAGGCAAGAGGAAGGGGTGGGCCTAAGGCAGAGGTAGCCAATCACGTGGATGTGGTAAGAGGAAGGGGCGGGTCAAGGGCAGAGACAGCCTATCCTGTGAAAGGAGAAGCCTAGAGACCAGCTGCACCTGTTTGCTTTCGCTTCAGTCTGCCAAAAGGCTGTACAGAAGTTCTTTGGGTATCTGTTGCCTGTGTCTTTTTTGGGGGGAGGGGGGGATGGATTGGGAATCTGATGTTGGTTTTCCCAAGATCTTCCTGATCTGGAGACACATTCCGCTTGGAGCCATGAGGGCAGCATTTGCAGAGCAGCCTCTCAGCCTCGAGAGCCTTTGAAATACCGCCCCTTTTGCCCCTTCCACCCCCATTTGAGGTAAGAGACTAGAGGAGGGGAGGGAAGAGATGGGAGGGGGACTCTTTCCTAGGGGTCCCAGTGTCCCCCCCTCCCCCCTTCACGGAGAAAGGAACGAAATCTAGGTGCCATGACGAACACGTGCCATTCCCGTGGTATCCAGACTCTGGACGCTGAGGTTAATGATAGTCGGCCTGGAGCAAACGTTTATTGATTGATTTCTCCATTCCTTCTGTTATTTATTCCACAACCACTGACCCAAGAACAGGATGGACCTTGAAGCACACCCAGCCTGGCCATTGGGCCGCCCTCTGAGAGCTTATAACTACAGGGCAGCCTAATAAATGGTAATAGTGTAGCCTTTGAGGTGACCAGAAAAGAGAGATGACGTCTAGTTGGTGGGATCAGGGGAGCCTTCCTGGAGGAAGGGACCTGTGAGAAGGTTCACTCTCCTAACCTGTGTTGAGTAGCTTCTTAAACAATGAGGGGGGGGGAAGCGTTTGATGATAAGAGTAGGGTCATTCCCCTGGGCTTCTTAAGGCATCACTGTCAAAGACTCACTGTCCAGGGCCCCAACTCTGAGAACTGAGCTTTAACGAACCCCTTTCATCTCTCCTTACTTTATAACCTCCCAGACTTGTATGTGCCTTGTACAAAGTAGGTACAAAGTAGGTAAATGTTTGTTGAGTTCTTTGTTGACTGAATCCCAGCTGGAGGCAGCCGATCTTCTTGGTTTTTAGAGGTGTGCCACACTCAAGTGCTCATTGCCTCCTTTCCACTCTGCTGCTGACCCCCATCTTGGTAAGGTATTCAGAAATCATTTCTTTCTTTCATTGCATTCTAGCAACTGCAGTGTTCCAGATCACAAAAATAGAGGGTGCTTTCTGAAGCTTTATTTTTAAGTTTATCTTTAATTTAATAACCATCAAACAGTTAAGATAGACAAAAAAATAAAAATCAATCATGCATTTTGACATAAATTTATTTACTTTTGGCTTTAAATGTATATATTGATTTTTTTCAAGATAGTATTAAAATCTGAAGTCTCATTTTATTTTTAGAGGTGTTTCTTGCTGTCATTGTTTTTATTTGGAATAGTTGTTAACATAAGCATTGTTATTACTATGTTCTTTTTATTTTGCATCATATTTGCTTTACTATATTTATTCATGTTCTTCTGTATTTGTCATTTGCTGTGATTACAGAAATCTATTCATATTCTACAATTTGTTTAGCCAGTCTCCAGTCATTGAACACATAGGATGTTTCCATTTTTTTGCTGTTATGAATAAAAGTGATTTTTTTGTGTAGATTAATTTTTTCCCACTAACCTAGTTGGTGTATATTCCTAATACAGTATGATTACCGTGTAGGTAGGAATAGTTTTGTTGCTTATTGTTTAATGCCCTATTGCTGTTCAAAAAGGTTACACCAGTTCGTACTTTTACCAGCTATGTAATGTCCTAGAGTTCACTTAATTTTTATCATTTTCAGCTATCATTGCTAGTTTACAGGGCATAATGTAATATCTCAGAATTGCTTTGATTTACACTTCTCATTAGGGCGTTTGAAAATGCTTCAGCTATTTATTGATAATTTGTGTTTTTTCTTTAGAAAATTGCTTGTTCATACTTTAAGCACTTATCTATTGGGATCTGTATCTTCTAGAAATTTTTGTCTGTTATGTAGTTGCATTATCAAATTGTTACCAGAATCTTTTATTTTTAAATCCCCAATCTGTTTATTTCCCATTTTTCCTTGATTCATTGCTTTTTTTGTAGGAAAAAAAAATTTTATATCACTAAATCTGACTTCTTTTCCTCCTATAATTTTTTCTGTTTACTGGATTAGAATATCTTTCATCTTTAGAATTTTCTTTAATCTTATTTATTTATTTACTTATTTATTTAATCTTATTAAGACTTAAAAGGAAACAGCTTTGGATGATGGGTCCGTATGGAATTTATTGTAAGTACAAATGGTGTGAGATGTAGATCTAATCTCAGTTTTTGCCATATGGCTATCCAATTTTCTTAACAGTTTTTATTGATTAATATATTTCCTAAGTGTTTTGTGATCTTAAATTTATCCAAGGCTAGTCTTTCTTTGCCTTTTGTTCTAATTCTGAGTTATATTTGTTCTATTGTTATGTTTTTCTATTTTGATTTAATATGTGTAACTTTAATAATTACTTCTTAATATGATTTTATATCCAGCAATTCAAGTCGTTCTTCTTCCCCCTCCTCAGTCATTCTTGTTCACTTACTCTTATGTTTAAATTTTATCACCATCAAATTCTGTGAAGTGGCCAACTAGTATTTTGTTTGTTTTAGCTAAAATAATTTAGGTAATATTGTTAATTCAGTTTTGATGAATGTTGCTACTCTTAATAACCTTGTACACAGCCTCAAAAAAGGAAAGCTAAGCAGGGCTCAGTGTAATGAACCAAGGGAGAGACATTGTGTGTAGGGATTGGAGGTGGCACCAAGATAACTTTCACCATTATTTTTTTCAGTGAAATGGTTGAGGAGTTTCTTTTGCTTTTGCTTTTAGTTCCTGTTTGTACATATCAGGAAGATCTAGGACAGCATCAGCCAGAGTGACTAGGAGCCACACTGAAATAGACAGTGTGCGGCTTGTGGGTGTGGAGCATGTTCACTGAAGGCTTCTGTTCATGATCTGTCCAAGATTTAAGGAGTCACTAAGCCAGACTGTTTACTTATGAGCCTCTGAGGAAATCATTTTCCAAACCACTCTGCAGGTGAAGTGAAAGGATACATACATATGTGGGAACATGGCTGATACTTTTTGTTACTTTGTTATTCATTTCTGTCTCCAAATATTTGTTTACCATTTTTTCATTGCTTTGTATTAGAATGGTGAGCCACTGAGTATATTTGACTTGAATTGGCTTCATATGGTTGCAGTTTTGGGGGGATGAAAGAGGACAAATAAGTTGGAGAGGTAAGATAAGTTACCATAGAAAAATTTTAAATAGAGCCCATAACAATGATGAGCAAGTGGGACCTAAAAGGTTTACTTAAACATTTCAGGAATCTGTGATTTCATTACTATGAGTACTTACTCAACCAATTCAAATTACAACCCCTGTCACTTAGTAGATGGTCTTTGAGAGTTGTTGTAGTTTGAGAGAAAGAAGGAATGAAGGGAGGAAGAAAAGAATCACCCTGCAGGTAACCTGGCAACTAGGTAGGCACTTTTTACTCAGTGTGGTCCTTTGGGGGGCAGCTAGGTGGCACAGTGGATAGAATGCCAGGCCTGGAGTTATGAAGCCTTATCATCCTGATTTCAAAGCTGTCTCCAGATATTTAGTAGCTGTGTGATCATAGGCAAGTCATTTAATCCCGTTTGCCTCAGTTTCCTTATCTGTAAAATGAACTGGAGAAGGAAATGGCAAACCACTTCAGTATCTTTGTTAAGAAAACCCCAAGTGGGGTCATGAAGAGTTGGACACGACTGAAACAGCAGTTCTTGAACAATAGATAAGTCTATCTTTGAGCCTATATTCAAAATCTTTCTAGCTTGGTAGGGTCTACTAGAAATGTTATCTTCTGGCATTGTCTTTAAGAGCTAAGCATAGCACAGAAAGCATTTTAGCAGGTGTTGGGGGTAGATGGGACATACATGTGTAATATGTACCTATGTGTAGTTCATGTCATAAGCTTAGTTTTGAAGGTAGCTAGTGGCGCAGTGGATAAAATGCTGCACTTAGAGTCAGGAAAACTTGAGTTCAGATTCCGCCTCAGACACTATCTGTGACCCAAGAAAATTTACTTAACCTCTGTCTCCTTTTCCTCAACAGGGTTGTTGTGAGGATCAAGGGGAATAAATAACTATCTTTAAAGAGCTATATAAATGCAAGCTTTCATTACATAGCTACATTTATCAGAATCTGGTCTTTTATTTGTTTGTTTCACATCTCCCCTCCCCTTTTTTTTTGGTAATTTGTTTTTTCATATGCATCCTACGTGATTACATTTGTGAATGTTTTAGCAATTCTGTTGGTTGTTTCAAAAGCACTGGATCTTTATTTTATGTACCAAGTTAATTTGCTTATATTTTATTGACTTATTTTAATGACTTCCCTTCCTGATTTTGGCTTGCTTTTGCTGTAGCCAGAGGTATTAAATTTGCTACAAGGCTGCCTGAATCAGATTAAAATATAATTGGGAAACGTTTAACAAAATAAGTAAAAATATAATACAACATAAATAATATTAATTTGAGGTTTTCTAAATCAATATGCAGTTTTCTATTTGAGTTTGACACCACTGCTCGAATCTATTAAACCAGGAATTTTATTTTCTGTTTTTCTCCCTTGTTAATGTAGGTGTTCAGGAATATAATGTTGGTTCTCAGTATTGTTTTGGCTGAATTGCTATATATTTTGACATGGTGTATTTCTTATTGTTTGTTCTATTTCATAGAATTTATTATTTTCAAAAGAAGGCAAAGTATAATAAGTTGATAGTCTGATTGCTCTGTAGCACAGGGAAATGTTGTTAAAAAAAGACTTAGAAAGGGCCTTATAGTACAATGGGTTGATGCTCTGTGTAGGATTTTTGTGAGAACATGGATGAGAAATATCACAGTGGGAAAGCAAGGCTGTGTTATGATCTGTACTAATAAAGGAAATAACCATATCAATGACGCTTTGAATAGTCCATCAAGAAAAATGAACTTGTTCTTTTGTCTAAAATTCATTAAATAAGTCATTTTAAAAATTTTATAAAGGTTTGTATTTTTCTATCATATTTTCCTTACAATGCAGTTTTAATCCATAAAGGAATTGTTTCCAGTGCGTGATTTTATACATTCATAAGTAATTTATTTGTGTCCTAGGATTTGATCAAGTTTTATAAACATGCCCTATCTTTTTTTTTTTCCATTAGTGCTTCAGATTTTTGCAAAGCTCTTTGCTGTTAACAGCTCTGTTGGGTAATAAGCTAAAGTATAGTTATTCTTATTGTACAGATAAGTAAATGGCCTCTTCTGAAGTTTAAATACCTTGAATAGGGTCATGCAGCTAGTGTTGGAAGCAAACTTTAAACCAAGACTTTCAGTCTAAATAATAGGATTGAAAGACAATCAATTCAAGAATGTTTAAAGTACAAAAGAAAGATCACTGATCATGGAGTCTTAAGACCTGCATTCCTATCCTTGCTGTGGTGCTCACAAGCTATTTATGGCCTTGACCTACTCACTTAACCTGAATGAGCTGCAGTGTCTTCACATGTAGAATAAGAAAAATAACATTGAAACCTACAGAAGTTCCTTGTCTATTTAAAAAAGAAAGTATATCCTATTTTAATTTTTCTTTATATATTCATCCAATCTATAGTCTTCAGCATTCTGACCAAATATATTATAAATTCTTTCTTAGATTTATTTTGATTTATAACAGTTCTACTGCATTGGAATATTTAAATCTCTCATTCTTATTGATTTTCTATTTAATTATTGTATCTGATTAACTTTTTTTTATTTTTAGTGAGAGCAGTTGGGGTTAAGTGACTTGCCCAGTTTGTGGTATGAGGGTTTGTGTGATACTATGAACTAATAAGTAATCTTAGCTATACATTAAAAATAACAATTATTACATTATTAGTTTGAATATAAATGTAGCTATTAATCTCCTTTTCGTGTTATTTACTGTTTTCCTTATTTTACACAAATAATTTTCTTTTAAAATCTCATTTTCAAAAAAATAGAAAGGTATCTCATTGCAGAGCTTTTATATAACAAACTATTCTCATGCCTCAACGAATGGCTCATACTAATAGTGGTTTATTGATTTGATTATGATAAACTAATGTTTTCTCTTACTCCCACTCTATTATGCAAAAAGAAAACAACTGATTTTTCACATGATCAGTTTCAGAATCGGAAAGGACTTCAGGGGCTACCTAATTCAACCCATACTCAACAAAAATCTTCTCTACAAGACACTTGTCATTTGGTCATCCAGTCACTATTTGATGATTTCCAGTAAAGGGAGATCTGCCTCCCTTCATCAGCACTACATCCTGAGCCAGCCCATGCCACTTTGTTGTTCAGTTGTGTACATCTCTTTGTGGACTCCATTTGGGGTTTTCTTGGTAAAGATACTGAAGTGGTTTGCTAATTCTTTCTCCAGCTCATTTTATAGTTGAGGTGCTGAGGCAGACAGGGTTAAGTGACTTGCCCAGGGTCACACAGCTAGTAAGTGTCTGAGGCCACATTTGAACCCAGGTCCTCCTGACTCCAAGCCCAGCACTCTATCCACTGTGCCACTAGCTGCCTCATTTTGGTATATATCTAATTTAGGAGTTTTTAATTTGGGGTCTGTGCACTTATTTTTGTAAAATTTTGCTAACTGCATTAATTTTAATTGGTTTCTTCTGTAATTACCTTTAAAAAAAATTTTTTTGGGGGGGGCAAGGCAGTTGGAGTTAAATAAGATGCCCAGGGTCACACAGCTAGTAAGTGTCAAGTGTCTGGTCTGAAACTGGATTTGAACTCAGGTCCTCCTGACTCCAGGGCCAGTGCTCTATCCATTGTGCCACCTAGCAGCCCCCTACCTTTTTTAAAATTATATGCTCTGAGTTGAATGAAAAGCCTAAGAGACAAAGTTTCTGGGCAGTTAATAATCAATTTGTTAATTAGTCTAGCTGAGAATAAATTGATGGTCAGTGGTTTCTACAAAACCATGTAGATCCCTGAATGCTCAAATACCTTTGGAAAAGGAGGTGCTTCTGACAGGTGAAAATCAGCCCTCATTGCTGAATAATAAATGAGGGGGTAGACATAAAAAGTCCTTAGCTCTCCTGCTGAGAATGTGACTTGATCATGAGACTCAGCCACCTCTAGCAATCTGGACAAAGGAATCCATTTCTACCCAGACCACTCTGGTTGATTTCCTTTTGTGAGCTGACTTCCCCTAGACTGTGATGGAGGGGTGTTGGGGCATGGGCTCAGTGCTTTAGGGCTGGAATACACCTAGATTAGATGCTGTATTTCACTCTAAACAGAAATAAGGCCTTTTAGTGGGGTAGGGTCCAGCCCAAGATCACAGAGTACGTACCTAGAAAATTTGGCCAATCTTATCTGTTAACCTTGTCCTTCAGAGACTGGCTGAATGACCAACAGGGACTGAATGACCTAAATGAGGAAATAGAAAGGAGAAAAACCTCAATCTTTATTATGTTAATATAATCACTTCTCTCATCATTTGAAAAACATTCTGAGAAGGGTTCCATTTGTTTCACCAGATTGACATAGGGTAATTATTGGGAAGTTTTTCTTTAAATCAAATCTAAATTTATCTCTTTTTAACTTCTTTCCACTGCTCCTAAGTTCTGTCCATTGGTCAAGCAGAACAAGCCTAATTTCTCTTCTACCTAATAGAACCTCAGAAACTTTGTGACAGCTATAATGCCTCCCTTAGTCTTCTCTAGGCTAAATATATTTATTTCATTAGGTTGAAATTATGGCATGATCTTAAGATTCTTACTGTCCTCTGAACACTCTCCATTTTTATCAATATTCTGTCTAAAGTGTGGCATTCAGAATTTAATACAGTACCCTATATGTGGTCTGACTATGACCACAGAAAGTGGACCTATCAACTCTCTAGTCCTGAAAACTCAGCCCTGGTGAATCCTGTGTTCTTGTGCTAAGTGCTGGGGATGCTAAGAAAGGTAAAAAATAGTCTCTGCCCCCAACGAGCTTACATTCTAATGGGGAAGACAACATAAAAATAACTAAAAACATGTATAATGAATACAAAAAATATGGGTGATAATCTCAGATTATCATCTGGAGGGATGACTCGGGTTGAGCTTCTACTTCACCAAAATCTGAAGAGTTTTGTAAATTAGCAAAGTTCCATTAAACAAAGTCTAGCCATGCTTAACATCTTGTTCTTGGGAAGTTTATTTTTTTTTAAACCCAAGATTAAGACTTTACATTTAGCTTCATTAAATTTCATTTTCATTTTTTACACCACTGTTGGGGTCCATGCAGCAATATGTTCTATCTTATGCATCCTATCTTTGCTACTGTGGCCCTAATATTCCTAGATAGAAAGTGAATGATCAGTTGATAGTTGAGGAATAAATAAACTGAAAAGGGTTTTCATTGTTTTTTCGGGGGGAAAAAGAAGAAACTTCACCCTAGCCTGCCCAGAGAAATCACGTAGACCCAGAACTGCAGCGTCACGTTTGTCCCTTCTGTACTCCTTTAACTTCCCCTAATTAAATCTAAAAGAGGAATCATTGAGTCTCCTGCAATCCCAGATTCAGAAAAAGAAAATGAGTTAGTTGTGCATACTATGCCCATGACCAAACTGTGAAAGTATAAAGGGTCATTTGGAGACTTGGGATGGATTTTGGCATATTTTAAAATAACTGTGGTCACTTGGGTAGAACTGCAAGAATATAGTACTATTGCTTTTAATCTGAGCAGCACTGTAACAGTTGTGCCTCAAGATAATGACAAAATATCCATTGAGGAGCCAGCCCTGCAAGGAGCCCAAAGATGATGAAACATACCTGGAATCTGCCAAAAGAAGAAAAAGACAGAAACATGTAGCATCTAGACTCTTAACTGCATGTCCTGCTGTGGGACATTTGTGGTATGAGGTAAAGAAAGTTTTCAATATCTTAGTGAGAACAAGATAGAGAATGTGAAACAAGTAAGAAAAAAGGACGATGGACTTCTCATGTGGAGGCCTCCAACACATTGTGAGGCTGCTATGCTTTTGCTTGCTCTGCAGGGGGGAGGTGCCAGAGCAACAAAATCAGGGAAATACAGGGTCTTTTCTCTGGACAGATTGTATGGTGAACACAGTACTTCTATATTACCTTTCACTCATGTTATCCCATGAGCCACAAAGAGGGTCTATCACAAGAATCAACATAAGAACAAAGGAAAGAGTCTTTGTGCATAAGAGAATTTGAGGACATAAAGAACGTGTTTGAGATATCATACGTGCTCATTGGCCTCACTGAAAGGTTTGTTTGGCTGGGTTTTTTTTTTTTAAAAGAAAATCATCAAATTGCTATTCTAGCAAGTGCCTAATGCTGTGTGAGATAACAAAGAAATGATTAGAGTAACAAGAAACAGTTCTTATCAATAGAACTTCCCCTTCTCCATATATGAATTTGGCTTTCCAGGCCCATTGGTGTATTCATTTAATACCTGAATACCATGAACACTGCCACATCTTGCTTTCCAGTTATGCTCCCTCTTCTCCTGCCTGTAATTGCTTTTGCTGCCCTTTCTGGACACCTGAATTCCAGTTTCTGGTCATGACTGAAAATAAATTCAGCTTCCTTCATATACCATACATAATCCAAATTTCCTTTAGGGCATGAGACCCCCTTCATTTCTTAGAGATAAGAATAGAAATGCACCAGTGGGGGATGAGTAGGGTTAACAAACATCTAGAAGAGTATGACTTTTACTTTTTATTCGTACCTTTCCTCCCTCTAGCTGTGTACTGCTTTGCTTAATGAGACTGAGACTGTCAGCAACAAAAGAGTAGTGATGAGCCAAACAAGTCTTCTTGGAACCTATGGTAAGTCCGTTCTTCAACCTCAAGAAACCTAGCAGAATCTGATAACTAGTCTGGCAATTCTAAGAATAGAGTAAATAAAAAACTACAACCAACATTTATTATGCATTTATTTTGTGTCAAGCACTGTGTTAAGCACTGGGGATACAGAAAGAAAAGTGGGCAAGAGGGGTCAGCCGCAGGGTAGATGGTAATATATTTTATTTAGTATAATTTTTATTAATTAAAAATCATGTCTATTTCCAACACTGAACTATTCAAAAGAGCAGTAGACTTGAAGAACTTGCTTTCAAGTCCCAGCTAAAATTCGGCTTTCTGCAAGAAGCCTTTCCTGATCCTTTTTAATCCTAGTGATTTTCTTCCTCTGTTGGTCATTTCCAATTTATTCTGTGTATATAGATAAGATAGTTTGTATAGTTGTTTGCATATTTTCCCACCCACTAGACTGTGAGCTTCTTGAGAGCCTCTCTTTGTATCCCCAGTGCTTAGCATATGGTAGGCACTTAATAAATTCTTATTGACTGCCCATCAGTGGCAGTGATTGGTAGATTGGCAGATAGTATTGAGGATAATGGCAGTCCTTTTTCCAAAGGGGTTGCTCCATTGGGCAGTAGCTTTAATCCAGGAAAAGCGGTGAGTTCTCCATTGGAGGATGTTATTTAAGGGTGACTCAAGACATCAGCAGTGTGCCTAAGGGATTTAGTGTGATCTTGCTGAGTGCAAAGTAAGATCCACTGATTGCCCTTTGGCCTGAGCTTGGTGCTTTGACAACGATTCTGTGTAAAGGGGATCACTACTAGAGTATGAACTGGCAGAGTTGGCTAGCTGGAGTCAACAACTTCTAAGACAGGAAGTTGGCTTCTAAGTTAAACTTACTTTGCATATCTTTAGAGAACATATCTGAAAACAGTTCTTTTCTTTAGGTGTAACAAGAAAGATGAAGGGTCAGAGCTTGTAGCTAGCACAGTATTACGAAAATTAGTGTATTAGATATGCTGAGTGATGAGCAAGGGACAATGCATGTCAACTCAGGAAAAAAAAATAATTCTTCTGTAGTCAGAACTGTGGCTTTTTAGTGCAAAAGTGAGAGAGAATTGAACATCAGTCGGCCTCAAATAAGGTCATATATTAGCAATATATCTTAGTCAGCCTCTTAGAAATCCTTCAGAGGAAGCTCTCAGGCTTCGGGTACTTTCCAAAGACAATGAGCTTTTTTTAACAAGGACCTTGTCTATCTGGGCAGAAATATTTTTTTCCTACTTGAAGTCATAAGAAAGGTGGGCAGTGGCTTCCGTGTTAGGGATTTTTTCCTCCCACTGTAAATTCTCTCACTTTCTTTCACTGAACAGTTTGTTTGCTGTTTATAGCTGAGGGTCTCCAGCTTTACCTTTTAGAAGAGACTGCAAATCTCTTTCCAGCAAGTACAACCAAAGTGGGTAGAGTAGTGTCAACATCAAGGTAGGGGTTCTTAACCGTTTTTATATGTCATCAACCTCTTTGGTAGCCTGGTGAAACCTGGAAATAATGTTTGTTGTTGACTATGATAATTGAATTTTTTTTTTTTTGGCTAGGCAGTGGGATTTAAGTGACTTGCCCAGGGTCACACAGCTAGTAAGTATTATGTGTCTGAGGCTGGATTTGAACTCAGGTCCTCCTGAAACCAAGACCTGTGCTCTATCCACTGCGCCATCTAGCTGCCCCCTGACTATGGTAATTGAAGAAAGTGATAAATTTCAGTTAGAAGATGTAATTTTTTTGTTCAGAGACTTCCAGAAATCTATCTGACAAGGTCTCCCTTGCTATCAGTAGCACTGTAATCTGTCAGCCAGACTGGAAACCTCTGTCTTTTTTTTTTTAACTTTTTTTTTTTGTCACCATAGTCAATCTATTGAGGAATCTTTGGTTTTTTATTCATTTTGTCCCCCATCTTACCTTAACTCTTCTTTCCTATTTTTTCTATGTTAATATTTGTCCTGATGACCCCAAGCTTAGAATGTTATTAAACATGCTGATAATTTACACTTTTGTATGGTGCTTTAAAATGTTCAAAGCTCTTTTACATTGATACCTTTACTGCTCACAATACCTTTGTATAGCATGAACAGTATTTATTATTCCCACCATTTTACAGTGTTTTATTTAGTGACAAAATTTCTAGAAGTATTGAATATCCAACTATAAGCCATTTCTTTAAGTTGAAATAGAAAAAAAATTGTGGACCAATTTCCTTAATGAGCATTGATGCAAAAATTTTGAACAAAATGCTAGCAAGGAGATTACGACAATATAGCCCCAAAGATTATATACATGCCTGGGTGGGATTTCTATCAGGAATGCGGGTTGGGTCAGTATTAAGAAAACTATCAATATATAGTTGACCATATCAATTTAAGAAAACCACAACAGAAATCATATCATTATCGCAATAGATGCTGAAAAACTTTTGACAAAATAATGTACCCATTCCTATTAAAACCACTAGAGAGTTTAGGAATAAAGGGAGCATTCCTTAAAATAATAAGTAGCATCTATCTAAAACCATCAGCAAGCATCATCTGTAATGAGGATAAGCTAGAAGCCTTCCCAATAAGATCAGGATGCCCATTATCACCACTATTCAAAATAATACTTGAAATGGTAGCTATAACAATAAGAGAAGAAAAAGAAATTGAAGGAATTAGAATAGGTAATGAGGAAACCAAACTTTGCAGATGACATGATGATATACTTGGAGAACCCTACAGCTTGAAATAATTAACAACTTTAGCAAAGTTGTAGGATATAAAATAATCCCACATAAATCATCAGCATTTCTTTATATGACCAGTAAAGCCCAGCACCTAGAGATAGAAAGAGAAATTCTATTTAAAATAACTGTAAACAATATAAAATACTTGGGAGTCTACTTGCCAAGATAAACCCAGGAAACTATATGAAAACAATTATGAAACACTTTTTACACAAATAAAGTCATATCTAAACAACTGGAAAAATATCAGTTGTTCATGGGTAGGCTGAGCTAATATAATAAAAATGACAATTCTGCTTAAATTGATTCAGTGCCATATCAATCAAAATACCAAAAAATTATTTTATAGAGCTAGAAAAAAATAACAAAATTCACCTGGAAGAACAAAAGGTCAAGAACATCAAGGGAATTAATGAAAAAAAAAATTCAAAAGAAAGGGGCCTATCAGATCTCAAACTATATTATAAAGCAGTAATCATCAAAGCTGTCTAGTACTGGCTAGGAAACAAAGTGATGAATCACTGGAATAGATTAGGTATACAAAACACAGTAATCAATGACCATAATGACCTACTGTTTGATAAACCCAAAGACCCCAGCTTTTGGGATAAGAACTCACCATTTGACAAAAACTGGGAAAACTGGAAAACAATAGGACACAAAGTAGGTGTAGACCAACATCTCACACTGTATACCAAGATAAGGTCAAAATGGGTGCACGATTGAGACATAAAGGGTGACACCATAAGCAAATTAGAAGAGCAGAATAGTCTATCCATAGAATTATGGGGAGGAGAAGCATTACAAATGTAAAATAGATTATTTTGATTATATTAAATTAAAAAGCGTTTGTACAAACAAAACCAATGCAAGAAAGATTAAAAGGAAAGCAGAAAGCTGGGAAACAGTATCTACAGCAAATGTCTCCAATAACGGTCTCATTTCTGAAATATATAGAGAGCTGAGTCAAATTTATAAGAATACAAGCCATTCCCCAATTGATAAATGGTCAAAGGATATGAACAGGCAGTTTTCAGATGAAGAAATCAAAGCTATCTATAGGCATATGAAGATGTGCTCTAAATGACTTTTGATTAAAGAAATGCACATTAAAACAACTCTGAGAATACCGCCTTACATCTGTCAAATTGGTTAATATGGCAAAGAAGGAAAATGATAAATGTTGCATAGCATGTGGGAAAATTGGGATACTGATGCACTGTTGATGGAGTTGGAAACTGATCCAACCCTTCTGCAGAGCAATTTGGAACTATGCCCAAAGGGCAACCAAGCTCTGTATACCTTTTGATCCAGCAATACCAGTACTGGATCTGTATTCCAAAGATACCATAAAAAAGGGAAAGGGACCTGCATGTGCAAAAATATTTACAGTAGCCTTTTTTGTGATGGCAAAATATTGGAAATTGAGGAGATGCCCCATCAGTTGGGGAAAGGCTAAACAAGCTGTGGTATATGAATATCATAGAATGCTATTGTGCAATAAGAAATGATGAACAGGCAGATTTCAGAAAAACCTGGAAAGAATTGTGCAAACTGTTGCAAAGTGAAATGAGCAGAATCAGGAAAATGTCCACAGTATCAGCAACACTGTGTGGTGATCAACTATGAATGACTCAGCTCTTCTCAGTGACACAATGATCCAAGATAAGTACAAAAGACTCAGGAAGGAAAGTGCTATGCATATCCAGATAAAGAACTGATGGACTCTGAATGCAGACTGAAGCATATTTTTTTTCAGTTTGTTCTTTCTCATTTTTTTTGTTCTTTCACAGCTGTGATTAATAGGAAATATTTTTGCATGATGGCACATGTATGAGCTATATCAAACTGCTTACTATTTTCAGAATAGGAGTGGGGAGGAGAGGAGGGAGGGAGAAAAATTTGAAACTTAAAATCTTACAAAAAATTAATGCAAAAAATTTTCTTGACATGTAACTGGGAAAAAAAATAAAATACCATTAAAACATTTAAAAAATAAATTGAAGCCTCATTTGCATGGTGAAGTACCATGTCACTAACAAGCAATATAGTGAAGTTCATAAGGAAATAAGCAAGTGAGAGACTTATATCTGAGAAAGTAAGAGAAGTGAAAGTGCTAAGTGTGGGGCAGCCCTTCCTATACTCCATTTGCTGTTTTCTTCATAGCATGGTCTGTCTTTCTTTGTACCATGTGGGAGTGCCTACTGTGTTTTGAAATTTCTTTTGCCTAGTGGGAGAAAGCTTCATGCTACCCATGCAAGTAAATTTTGCCCTTACAGTTCTTTAAGTATAGTTCATGCACTTGATCTATACTTTTGATCCATGTACCGTTCAGATCCATTCTGTGTTAAATGGTATGCAAGACACACTATGTTTTATTGCTTCCATGTTGAATGAGTTTTTAGTTAAAAGAGGTTAAGAGAAAGGAGTCTTTATCATAGCTTATATAAGGTAAGAAAATTATACATTTTTAACTAGAAATATAAAATTATAAATAATTTTTTAAAACTTATTTCATAGGAAAAGCATAAATCATGTCACATTCTAAGAGTAGAAAAAAATATACAAGAACAGAATTTTCAGACAATGTGGGAGCTAGATTTCTTCTTTTCTGAAGTAAAAGACAAAATTTTATGTTTTATTTGTAAACACAGTATTAGTGTCCCCAAGGAATATAATTTAAAATGCCATTATGAAATATACTGTTTTGATACAATACTTAGGAATAAGGTAAATTAAGAAATTTGAAATAACTTAAAAAAACCCAAAAGTAATAACAAAAATCTATAAAGACAGCGAAAATGTAGTGAAAGCTAGTTACACTGTTTCAAAACTTGTAGCTAAACATTCAGTGTTTTAGTGAAGGTGAATTTGTGGAGTGTATAGTGAAAGCCATTGAAATTCCTTTCCTGAAAAAGTTAAAACTTTTCAGAATATTTCATCATGGAACACTATTGTAGAATTAACAAAATTTTCACTGATGTCAATGGAAAACAAATTAAAATTGGAAAATTTCTGACTCTGACTCCTCCTCCTCTTAACACCAATTGCCTCATGAAAAAAAAAAGTTTAGTCACTTTATTTGTATAATTCCAGATTGCTTTCCAAATGGTTATGCCATTTCACAGCTCTACCAACAGTGTGTTAGTGTGCCTGTCTTTCTGAGATCTCTCCAACATTGACTATTGCCATTTTTTTTGTCATTTTTGCCAATTTGCTGAATATGAAGTGAACCCTTAGGATTGTTTTAATTTGTATTTCTCTTATTGTTAGTGATTTGAAGCATTTTTAATGTGTTGTGAATGCTTTGCAATTCTTTTGAGAACTGTTTGTTTACATCTTTTGGTCATTTATTTATTGAGGAATGTCTTTTAGTCATAACAGATATAACTAGATATCTGTGGATAAATAGATATCTTGGACACCAAATCCTTATAAGAGAAATTTGATATAAAGATTGTTTCCCATTTGACTGCTTCCTTCTTATCCAAGATGCATTAATGTTATCTGTGCAGCAACTTTTTAGTTTACAATAATCAAAGTTGTCTCTTTACCTTTTGCAATTGCTTCTGTGTCTTGGTTGGTTAAAAATACATCTCCTACCCATAGTTATAAGAGTTATATAATCTGTTTCTCTTCTTTTTTATAGTATGATATTTAATATTATCATGTATCTATTTAAAATGTATTATAGAGTGACATGTAAGATGTTGGTCTAAGCCTAATTCCTGCCAGATTACCTTTTAGTTTTCTCAGATATTTTCTCTATATTTTTATCAAATAGGGAGTTTTTCCTATTATTTTGTTTCCTATTTATCAAACACTGAGTTATTGAGTTCTATTATTTTTAAGTCTCCTTTTTCCCTCTAATCTATCCATTTTGTAATCTATCCATTGATCTACCTCTCTATTCTTTAACCAGTGCCTGCTGGTTTTTTTAACTGCTCTATTACAATATTGAATTCTGGAAATGCCATTATTCTTTAGTCCTGACTTTTTTCATCATTTATCTTGATATTCTAGATCTTTTGGTTTTTTTTTTCTCATATGAATTTTGTTATTATTTTTTCAAATTTTCAAAATTTGATTGAGATAGCAGTAAAATTATAAATAAATTTTGGTAATGTTATTTTTATCATGTTGGTATACTCTAGCCATGAACATTGAATAATTTATTTTTTTAGCTATTTAATTTCTTCCATTTTTTTTTTAAATTTCTTTAAGGAACAATTTGGATCAGATCCTTACAAGTCTTTTGTGTGCTTTAGGAAGTTGATCACCAGATATTTTATGCATTTACAGTTATATAGAATGAGATTTTCCTTTCTAGCATTGTTCCTTGTGTTTTCCTATTATTATTTAGAAATGCTGTTGATTTTTGAGAATTTATTTCATAGTTTGCAACTTTGATGAAGCTATTAACTCATTTAGGACTTTTGCATATTCCCTAGGATGTCCAAGTAAACCATCATATATGTTCAGCAGACAGGGATAGTAGTGTATATTTTGTTTTAACCTTTACCTACCTTTGTTCCTTTAATTTTTTTTCTCTTATTGCTATTGCTAGCATTTCCAGAACTATATCAAATAATAATGGAGAGAAAAGGCATTCTTGCTTTACTCTCTCTATATTGACAAAAGTTTTAGTGTATCCCTATTGCATATGATAACTTACTTTTGGTTTTATCTAGGTACTTTTTATTGTATTTAAAGTTCTTTCTATGCCTATACTTTGTAGGATTTATAGTATAAAAGAGTGTTTGTACTTTGTCACAGGCTTTTTCTGCATCTGTTGAAATGATCATGTGGTTTTAGAAGTTTTGGTTTTTAATATGATTAATTATGTTAATTGTTTTCCTATGTTGAAGCATCTTTGCATCTCTGATATAAATTCTACTTGATCAAAATAAATGTTTTTGGGGGCAGCTAGGTGGCTCAGTGCATAGAGCACCAGCCCTGAAGTCAGGAGGACCTGAGTTCAAATGCGGCCTCAGACCAGACACAGTTGACACTTACTAGCTATGTGACCCTGGGCAAGTCACTTAACCCCAATTGCTTAAAACAAAAAACAAAAAATAAAATAAATGTTTTCTTGGATAAATCACCATAGTCTGATAGGATTTTGGTTTTTGAGTCAATGTTTATTAATAATACTGGCCTATAACTTTCTTTCTAACAGATCATCCCCTGATATCAGGAGCGTGTAAGTCTTGTAAAAGGATTTTTGTGGGGTGTTTTCCTTTCTCAGTTTTGGAGAGTATTTTGTGAAGTCTGAATAGTATCTATTCCTTCAAAATTTGATTCTCCTGTGAATCCATGAGAAGCAGGAGGTTTGTTGTTTGGTTTTTAGTAGTTCCTTTATGGCTATTACTATTTTCTTTACTTTCATTAATTTATTTCAGAGGTCTAGGTATTCTTCTGATAGTTTGGGTATTTTACATTTTTGAATATGTTGTTCCATGCTATTATGTTATTGGTTTTGTTAGCAAATAATTGAATAATATGCTCTGATTATTTGTTTTCTTTCTTTTTATTTTTACTTATGTTTTTTCAGTGTTTTCACTTTACTCATTTACTATTTTATTGGTGTGATTTTTCTGTTCTCTTTTTTAATCAGATTAGCTACGGTTTTTTTTTTAAATCACTTTAGTCTTTTCAGAGATCCAGCTTTTAGTTTTATTTAGTATTTCTCTGTGTTTTTTATTTCTAATTTTACTGTTTCCCCTCAAATTTTTAATACATCCTCTTTTGTGCTTATTTTAGGTTTATTTGTTGGTTTTCTAAATTTTAAAATTACTATTCAGTTCATCAATGCTCTCTTTTTCTATATTGTTAAGTCCTCATTTGGATTTGTAGCTTTTATTTGTGATCCCTGAACCAATTTCTACTTTTATTGCATTATGGTCTATAGAGGATATATTAACTATTTCTGCCTTTTTACATTTGTTTGTAATATCCATCATGGTATATAGTCATTTTTTGTAAAAGTTCCATGTGATGCTGAGAAATATGTATATTCTTTTGCTGTCTCAGAAGACTCTAAATCTTCTAACTCTAGTTTCTTAAGCCATTTGTTCAGTTCCATATTTATCTTTTGTTTATCTTTGTTAGATTTATCCAAAACTATGAGAGATATTGAAGTCTTCTGTCACTATTATGTTACTGTTATGAATTCTTAAAGCTCAGATAATGTTTCCTTTAAGAATTTGGATGTTAAGGCATTGGAAGGATATAAATTTGTTACTGATATTGATTTTTTTGTCTACAGTTCTCTTCAGCATAATACAGTCTCCTTTTTTTATCTCTATTTTTTGAAGGCTTGTTTTTGCTTTTTCACATAACATGTTTGCAACTTCTACTATTTGGGATTTACTTGATGCATAGTGATTTTTTTCCCATTTCCTCAGGGTTTTTTTTTGTGTATGTCTTTGTTTTTTAAATGTGTTTCTTATAAACAGTAGATTGTATAGTTTTGTTTTCTTTCTCAATGCCACTCTTTTTCATTTTATTGGATTGTTTAATCCATGCACTTTTACGCTTACAAGACTATTACCCCCACCCATTCTGCTATAAAAACAGTCTCATGTTCCTTTAATTTCTTTAATCTTTTTTTAAAGGTGGTCCCCTTCCCACTGGCTCTTTTTGCTTCACCCTGATCCCCTCTTCTCATTTGTTATACCTTTCTTTATGGGGTTTTGCTCTTTAGTTCATTTTTCTCTTGCTTTTATCTGGTTATATAATTTTCCCATTTTCCACCTTTTCCTTTTAGTTAAGCAAGTCGATTCTCCCTTCCTCTACTCTCCTTCAACTAGTCTTATTCATTAGCTTTTTAAATTTATTGTTGGTGATTCTTTTCATAAAGTATTTCTCTCTCTATTACCCATCCTCACTTTCTGTCTATTCTAGACCTTCATTCTCTGATTCATAGCCCCTGTAATTATCTGGCCCTCTTTTTTCTCTGTATTCCACATTTAATCAAAGCTTCTAAGGTATATGTTCTAGTCCCTCCCCTCTAAGCACTTTATGTCACTGACTTGAAGGGCTTGTCCTGTGGAGTCTCTCTTTACACTTTGTCTCACTCTTGGAACAATGCCAGTTAGTGTAGGTGTCAGGACACTGCCCCATTGTAGAGCCCCTCACCCTTTATGTGCCTGATAAAGCAGCTCACCACTGAGCTATACCTTTCCTGGTTACCTTTTTCTCCCATTTGCCTCAAAATCTCTTTCTTGGGTCCATGGTCTCCCCGAGGTGCCTGTTATCCCCAGGAATTCCAACTCCCCCCTTTCCCAATGTAGGAAAAACACACTTTTCAAGCACTAAATCTCACAGGCCTCACCGAGTGTAAGGTCCTTATTCCCCTTCACATACCATCTCTCTTCACCCATAGAAACATTCATCAGTGGAACCCCCTCCTACTTCCAAAGTAAAGCCTCATTCCTTTTCCCTTCTTTTCCCTTTTTGCCTTCTTACCTGCTAACCTGTAGGCTGTCTTTCTGAGGTCCAGGGGTGACCTTTCCCTCATTGCTAGCCCTTGATTTGACCCTGGTGCTTCAGAGTCTCTTCTGTCCTCTTGCTCTCTGCTCCCTCCCCTCATACATACCCTCTCATGTTATAATGTCCCACCAAAAATAGAAGCATTGATTCATGGGTAGGCAAGATATCCCGTTCGGTCCACGATGCCCCTGTCTGCCTCTTCAGTGTTAACCTTTACCAGATTTCCACCTTCACCTCTGTCTCCTTGTGTACATTTAGAAAGAAATCTCTTACTATTCTCTCTGTTGTCACTTTGTGGTGGTTGTCACCTTTGCCTGCTGCATTTGTTCCCTTCTGCACTTTGTTGTTTGAGATGTTCTAGAAGCAAGTAATCTCTTCAGTTCTTGTTTTATTTCTAACAGTGTTTCTAACTCTTCTTTATTACTGAACGTCCATCTTTTGTGCTGTATGGTTAAGCTCTGATCTGCATCCTAAAATCTGGTGCTCTTTGAAATACGTTATTTCACTGTGCCCAAAAGGCTATAAAAATGTGCATACCCTTTGACCCAGCAAGACCACTACTAGATCTGTATCCCAAAGTGATCATCAGAAAGGGAAAAGGACCTACATATACAAAAGTACGTGTAGTAGCTCTTTTTGGGGTAGCCAAGAATTGGAAATTGAGGGGTTGCCCATCACTTGGGGCACGGCTGAACAAGTTGTGGTATATGAATATCATGGGATGCTTCTGTTCCATAAGTGATGAGCAGGCAGATTTCAGAAAAACCTGGAGAGACTTGCACAGACTGGTGCTGAGTGAAGTGAGCAGGACCAGAGCATTGTACACAGTAATAGCAACATTATGTGATGACCAACTTTGATAGACTTGGCTCTTCTCTGCAATGCAATGATCTAAGACAGTTCCAAAAGATTCATGACAGAAAATACTATCCACATCCAGAGAAAGAACTATGGCGTCTGAATGCAGATTGAAGGATACTATTTTCTTTTTCATTTTCTTTCTCATGGTTTTTCCCTTTTGTTCTGATTCTTCTTTGACAACATGACTAATGTGGAAATATGTTTAATATAATTGTACGTGTATACCCTATATCTGATTGCGGGCTGTCTTGGGGAGGAGGGAGGGAGGAAAATTTAGAACTCAAAAACTTATAAAAGTGAATGTTGAAAACTAAAAATAAATAAATAAATTTTAAAAAGAAATACATTATTCCATTCCTTCGTATGTTTTCTAGTGAGTCCATAATACTCTTGTGTTATTTGAGTTAACTTTCATTTGTATTTGAATGTCTTTCTTCTGATTGCTTGCTGAACATGTTGTTTCTGAATTGAACTATTAAATTTAACCACTGTGTCTTAGAGTTTGCAGCCATGTATCTTTTTTTTTTTTCCCTGGGGGCAGTCTTTTAATTCTTTTGATTAGAATTTCATTTTCTGTGTTTGGAAGGTCTGAACCATTTTCTTCTGTTATTTACTTCATTATGGTAGTAAGGTTTTTTTTTTTATCCTGTCATGTTCTTTTGGGAGACCTAGAATCCTTAGCTTGTCTATGCATCCTGTCTGCAAAATCAGTATGTTGTACTTGTAGAGTGAGTATATTTTTAAAATTTTTTTTTACTCCTCTTCTAGATTATTCTTCACTTCTGGGTTTTTGCATTCCAAATTTGTTGTGCTCTCTTTTGTGTCTTTGGTGAAGCTCATGGAAGAAAATGATTCTTTAAAAATTAGAATGGAGGAAATGGAAGCTAATGATTTTATGAGAAATCAAGAAATAATAAAATAAAACCAAAAGAATGAAAAAATAGAAGATAACATGAAATATCTCAAAAACAACTGACCTGGAAAACATACTTTGTTTTCTCACCATGTTACACTGAATTTCAACGAGTTCCATTTGAATACTACTTTATAATCTTATCAACATAAAAAAAATGGGACAGTGAATAGTAAAAAATTATTTTCACACATTTTAAATCCTTAAAATGAACTTTCAAGTTCAAATTATAATTCCTGAGCATTTGAGGCAAACCTGCTGAAATCAGAAGAACCAAATGGCTTTTGGTAATTTTTACAATTAGGAAAATGAGTCAAAAAAAATTGTAGTTGCCTTTCCTAAAGGTAAAGTTTTATATCAAATGATTTCAGACAGTCGTATGTAGAAATGTTACAAACTGATTTTGACCCCTGAAATTTTAAATTCAACTCATATTTAAATACTCTATAATATTTACAATGAAAGCCAAATCCTGAAATCAGTTCTTATTATTAAGTTGTTCCAGTGACTCGTATTTCTCAAAGCATTTTGCTTTTATGGCGAAGTCACCAAAATCTCTGCAAAACCTTATGACAGGGAATCACTGGCAGCAGTGGTAGTTTCCAGATCTCTCAGCCCACAGATAGCAGACAAAAGGTCAGCAGGAAGAGGCTGGTGCACCTGGGTGAGAGTGGAACACTGTCCAGTGTAAGCCAATCCAGCACAGCCTCACCTACAGCAAACCAGGAGCAGCCTTGGGAGTGAGTGAATCAGCAGTGGCAGCAGCTACTTCTGGAGCACTCAGCCCACAGATACTAAGGGGGTTGAACAGCTGGTCAGAGGGAGATCATAGGGTTGGGTTTTTTTGGGTTGTTTTTTTTTTTGCTAGCTCTGGGGCAGCACTTTGTTGCTTAGCTTATCCTTGGATCTGGGTAGTAGTTTTGAGTGGCAGCCCT